AACTGATGTGAGGGAGTGCTGCAACGGAGCAGCCGGGCCCAGGGTTGCCATCCTTTGGGAATGGGCAGCAGTCGGGGGAAGGATGGTTCATGCTCCGAGGTGAGTGTAAGGGCGTGAACCTCACAGAGAGGGAGATTAAAGCGATGCGAGTATTATTTTTATTTTAACTTTGTGGGCACAGTCAAAGCCTGGGCTTCTTGCTTCAAATCTGATCTATCTCAGATTAGGGAAGCCCTGAAAAGGAAGGTTTCCACAAACGCGGGTTTGCAATTGTATTTAAATTCAGGGATGCTCTCTCAAGTCATTTCCCGCCCCACCTCCCCGTTGCTGACCTTCACTGATATTTATCCAGGTAGCACCGCTCCCGACGGTGTGCTGATGTGTATCGCTAATACGTGCGTTCCCATCACCAGGCAGAATTGTTACCGAGATTAATTTCAGTTCATTTCGACGAGGAATAGGGGCGATAGCACTGCATGTCAATGGAAAAAAAAAAGACAAGATTATTTTTCCCTCCCGCAGTCACATATGGCTGAGGATGTGAAATGTTCCTTGGCTACAAGGAACGAGCAAGTTGGGACCCCGCCTGAGCAGCTGCCTTTTCCCAGGCAGCCCCCCACCCACCGCAGCTGCACCCCAGCCCGGGCAACTGGGTTTAGGCTTTCAGATAGTGCTATTTGGTAGCCCCTGAAGCCAGAGACTCCAAAGCTACAGTGGTCTTCAAGGAGGCCACTGCAGGGAGCAAGGCTGGTGGCAGCAGCGGTTCGGGCCGGCATGGCCACCGGCGAGGCGGTTGCGGGGAGGGGAGGTGACCCCCCATCTCTGGGCGATGGACAGGGACAGAGTGGCGGGTGGGAAGGAGGCAGCCAGAGGGGATAAGAAGTAATTTGTCTTCTCCAGTCGCTGATTGCTGCCAATAGCCAATGTAAATGCTTCAGAGGAAGGAGGAACAAGACATTCCTTAGAAGGCAATTTTTAGAATAATCTGCCCATAGGGATCTTTGCCCCCCTTCCCATTTATTCTTGTTTGCAGGAGAATTTCTCTTTTAAAAAGCCGTATTATTGCTCGCTGCTGATGTAACTCACATGTAGCGAATATAACTGCAAATGTTCGTTTCTTTCAGGTACATTCCTGTCCCTTTCTTGCAAGTCTCTGCATCTGCGATTTTAGCAGTATTTTGGAACACTGAGCTCCCCGGGTGATTACGCACAGTGCATTAGAAAACAGCATTTTGCTTATCCTTGTACGTGTGCTGCCGTTCGGGTTTATTGACTGTCCCTTTGTTGTCTTTTTATGTGAAAAGTGTAAATAAGAGTACTTACATGTACCTTCTCTGTGCCATTCGTTATTTTGTATACTGCCATTATGTTACCTTTTACTCACTTTGTCTAGAAATTAAAATAATTTCAATGCTAGCTAGACTCTATTTCTAACCCTCTTACTTTCCCATCTTGGAAACGCTCCCCTCGTCTCTTTTTGATGTGTTCTTTGGGAGTTGGTGGGAGGCAGCAATGCCAGAAGAAGACCGCCTCCTCCTTCCTACCCAAGCATTTGGCCACAGTTCCCTGCTACTTTTTCTCCTGGTCTTTATCCAAATCTGTTCTTCATTTGTTTAGGATTTTTTTGGGGTAATAGTATATATTTGCAACCCCCAGTGGAGGACTGTGGTGAGCTCCCCAAGGCCCCAGCTGGGTTTTCTCTTCGAGAGGTGACAGCTGATCTGGACTTACCTGGTTTTCATGACCACCACCCCCTTTTGCCGTGGATCCCTGCCCAGGCTGTGTCCATGGGGGCATCCTTTTCCCCCGGCTCTGGCCCGTTCCCCTGACTTCGGTGATGCCCTTGGCAATCCTCGTCACCCCCGGTCGGGCTTTGCTGTCGGGGGCACCTCATCAGCCACGTGTGGCGAGCAGCCCTGGGGCTGGGGGTGCTGCTGGGCGGGGTACGGAGCCGTGTGACGCCTGCCTGGTCCTCATCCTGCTTTTGGGGGGTTTGTTTCTTGGCTAGTGCCTAACTCATGACCCTTCTTTGCCTCCCATGAATAGCTCTTTCACAAAGGTCTTTAACAAAACCTTTGCAAGTGTCCACACCAATTGTATCGGAGATACCTCTTCTTGCCAGGACTTTGATGTATCAAAAGCTTTCAAATAGATTAAAGGAGCAGGCTTTTCTTTTCCACAAACCGGTTGGCTTTGTTTCCCCCCCCCGCCCAGTGAAGTGCATTCCCCCTCTAGAGAGCACGATGGGCTAAAACTGAGCAGCGTGATTAACCCCAGTGCCTGCCACCGGGCCAGCACGCAACATGCCCTCGCACTCGCGCCGTTTGCTCCGATTCATGGCAATCCAGGCCCGGTTAGAGGACAAACCGCTTGCACAAGAGGCTGTTCGCTCGCTCAGAGCAAATCCGGTAGCGCGGTCCTTCGTCCTCGGTTTGGCCCGGGGAGCACCGCGGCGCGACGAGGTTGCACTGCCGGCTGGCAGTGAGCCACGGGGAGAGGGGGGCGGCTGTGGGAAACGACGACCCAGCCAG